GGCCCCCGCCCCCCTCGAGAGGCACAGAGGATCGCCCCCGGGGGCCACAACCAGCAGCCGGCAGAGTCCCTGGAGATATCAGCGGCAAGCCCACAGGCCCGCCCGCAGCCTCCCACCCCCTAGCCGGCCGAGCCCGGGACCCAGCGACCCGGGACCCAGGGGCGACCACCCCCGCCGGGGACCCAGCAGAGCCCAGGGACCCAGACCCCACCAGGCAGCCACCGGGATCTATCAGGTAGATGCCAAAATCTTAAACCCCCAGACCCGGTTGCCACGAACACTCAGGCAGACCAAGGCACAAGCAAACTTCATGAGTACAGGAGAGGGCTCAGCGCACACCCCTGTGGAGCACCAGTGTTCAGTGTGACGGGGGATGAGGTGGTGCTGCCCAGTCTGACCACCTGGCGTCTGTCAGACAGAAAGTTAAGGATCCAGCTGCAGAGGGAGCTGCTCAGTCCTAGATCCTGCAGTTTCCTGTCCAGCTTCGATGGAACAATGGTGTTGAATGCTGAGCTGTAATCTACAAACAGCATTCTCACATACGTGTCCCTCTTCTCCAGGTGTGACAGGGCAGCATGGAGTGTCAGGGCTATGGCATCATCAGTGGACCTGTTGTGGCGGTATGCAAACTGTAGAGGGTCCAGTGAATCGGGTAGTGCAGAGCAGATGAAGTTCCTGACCAACTTCTCGAAGCATTTGCTCACGATGGGGGTCAGGGCTACAGGTCGCCAGTGTAACGGAAACAAAGTGATGTAACTATCTAAAGTTGTATTTTAATACACTGTTAGTAGTTCACTTTTATAAACAGAAGAATAGGCTGTTTTTATCATCAGGGAGTTTAATTAAACACTCTGTATTGACTTTGAGACAAGAAAAGAGAGAGAGATGGGATCGTTTGAGAATCTTTAATTTCTGAATTATAAATTCTAAACAATCTACCAGGACTAACTCTGTGATGGATGAGAATGGATTCGGATGTTGTGTTGGTGCGTGCGTGTGTGTGTGTGTCTGGTTCAGATTCTCTAGGATGACGTAATCGAATCTGGTAGTCTTTGTTACGACTAGATATCACGAGGCTTATAAAGTGATGACATGAGCCGCTATTTTGCCGTGTACGTACCCAGTGGGGGTCTCCCAGGTAGATCAGGAAATGCCAGGTCTGGAAACCTCGGATGTACGATGGAGCTGTCGATGCAGCGATCACAACGTTTCAAAGCCCGTCTGGAGGGTCGACCCCGGTACCGTTCAGCGGCGTCAGCAGGTGCTCTTATTTTGAAAGGACGTCGTCTGGTTGTTAAACGACGAAAATCTCCCGTTTCACAGTTCTTAGTTTAAAGAAGAAAACACATCTGGACAGGCTGCGCTTTTCTTTAGGATGATGGTGAATAGAACTGAAGTCAAGATGGAACTGACTTAAAATGGCGTTGCCTTGTTTTATATCTCTGAATTGTTGATAAGTTGGAGTAAAGTGGATTGGACACTTGAAGTCAACACCAGATTCTCCTGCGGCAGCCGAAAGCTCTGATTGGTTGGAACAATGTGTCATGCGTTTCTATGGAGATGAGGATCAGTATGTCTGTGCCGTAGTCCTGGTTTCATTAAACATAATTCATGACATATTTATTTCACAGATCATTCACTTGATTATTGTTGATCAACATCTGTTTTGCTTAATAATTTTAATCACAAATAAAGTACTTTGATTAAGTAAAGCTTCTTCTTCTCCTTCGGACTCTTCTCCTGGAATGTAAACAGTCTGAGGAACACCCGACCTTGGTTTTTCTACACTGTGTTATTGTGCCCAGGGGGCAGCTGTATGTAGTTGAAAACAATGAACTTCATAACCTTACACCAGTCATTCAATGAGGAGATGGTGGAGGATTTGGGTACAGGGACAATGGTGGCCATTTTGAAGCAGGCTGGGACTACAGACAGAGAAAGGGAAAGGTTGAAGATGTGTGTAAACACTCCAGCCAGCTGAGCCGCGCAAGACCTGAGGACGCGGCCGGGAATCCCGTCCGGACCAGTAGCTTTGCATGCGTTCACCCTCGTGAAGCACCTCCGAACATCCTCCTCAGACACAGTGTGCGCACTGACGTCATCCGCGGTGCGCTCACTGTCCGGTCTCATGGTGTTCGCTGTGTCGAATCTGGCATAGAATGCCTCACACAGAGAGGCTGTGGTCTGCAGTATTCCGGTTTTACCTCTAAAGTCTGTGATTGTGTTTAGTCCCTGCCACATACTCCGGGGGTTGTCAAACTGTTGCTCCACCCTGTCTCTGTACTCACGTTTGGCTGCTTTGATCGTCTTCCGGAGTTGGTAATGTGCGTGTTTGTAGTCTGATGTGTTCACGGAGGCAAAGGTGGTGCTCCGCGTCGCCAGCGCCGCCAGCGCCGTTCGCACACCTCCATTAATCCAGGGTTTTTGATTTGGGAAGGATTTAACTGTTCTGGATGGGACAACATCTTCCACGCATTTTCTGATAAATCCGCAGACTGAGTCTGTGTACTCATCAATGTCTCTAGCAGCCGCGTGAAACATTTCCCAGTCCGCGTTATCAAAACAATCCTGCAGCGCAGACTCCGATTGGTCCGACCAACGATGCACCGCCCTCAGGGTTGGAGCTTACCGTTTCAGCTTCTGCCTGTAGGCAGGTATAAGCAGGATGGAGCGGTGATCTGATTGGCCGAATGGGGCGCGGGGGAGGGCTTTGTACGCATCTCAGAAAGAGGTGTAGCAGTGGTCGAGTAGCCGGTCTCCACGTGTATTGAAATGGATGTGTTGGTGTAGTTTTGGTGAAACTTTCTTCAGGTTACCCTTATTAAAGTCCCCGGTCGTAATAAACGCCGCCTCTGGGTGTACGGTTTCCTCATTGCTGATTGCGCTGTACAGTTCCCTGAGCGCTCGGTCAGTGTCGGCTTGTGGGGGAATGAAAACAGCCGTAATACAGTAATAACCGCTGTGAATTCTCTCGGTAGCCAGAATGGCCGGCACTTAATCATCAGGTACTCCAGGTCCGGAGAGCAGAAGGATTTGACCGGGTGCACGTTTGCATAATCACACCAGCTGTTGTTGATCATGAAACACACACCGCCACCTCTGCTTTTCCCAGTAAGCTCCTGTGACCTATCCGCGCAGTGCACGGAGAACCCCGGTAGTTGTACTGCGGTGTCCGGTACTTTGTCCGATAGCCAGGTTTCTATGAGGCAGATCGCACAGCAGTCCCGCATCTCTCGCTGGAATGAGATCCGAGCCCGAAGCTCGCACAGCTTGTTCTCCAGGGACTGCACATTAGCCAGTAGTAAACTGGGTAATGGTGGTCTGTTAGTGCGCCGTCTCAGTCAAACCAGAACGCCAGATCTTCTCCCTCTGCGTCGGCGCTTGCGGCCTCCACAGGCCCATAACAAAGGCGTCTCAGGTGAGATGAATGGGGGATCTGCAAACGGCGGGTCCGTGATGAAAACCCTGGACTCCGGAAAGTAATGAGAAAATCCATCTTTTATGTCCAGTAAGGTTTGTCGGTCGTACACAAGGATACATGTGCTACTCGTGAAAAAATAAAGAAAAAGAAAAAGTAGTAAACACAAAAAACAGCTGTTGCTTGGTGGAGCTCGCGACGAGGCAGCCATACTCGGCGCCATCTTGTCGGAATGTGTCACCCACAGGCCTGAGCAGTAGGGCACCGTCCCAACCCACCGCTCTTGTTTTCCCCAAGCGCCATTTTGGGGAGAACATGCGCTCATTTTACCCTGCCTGGTATCGTGAGAGACCTTGGCTGGAATACTCAGTAAAGCTGAATGCGTGCTTTTGTTTCCCATGTCGTAAGTTTGGGGGGAAGAACAATGATAGGGGTTTGGTTTTCACAAAACAAGGATTTAATAATTGGAAAACAGCACTGGAAAATGACAAGGGATTCACAAAGCATGCTTCAAGGTATAAGCCATTTTGGGATTCATGGATTATATCACTAATTCCATATTTTAGTCGTCTGACTATTACTGATGCTAGAATTTTGTAATCGTTGTTAAATAAAGTAATGCCACGCCAATTGGCCTCACTTGTGGGGGCTTGAGCTAGATGCTTGAATTTTGTCTTCAAGTACCATAATGCAATTCGTGAGTGACGCGCATGCAGGCGGGAGACGTCATTTGGAATTCTAGGATGTCCAAGGAAGATCCCGCCTTTCTCGTCTCTGATTGGCTAGAAATGCCCTACAACGATTGGTTATTTCATTTAGCAGCAAACTGGCTGTCCTCGCTAAGTGCTGACTGTGACCTGCCTCCAGCAGAAAGCTGTTTTGTGGAGTTTAGTAAAGAAAATGTGAACTTAGCGCTAGAATAAATATTCTGTCCTGGTTTGCAAAATATTTAATGTTTTATGTTGCATTAAAAAACTGAAATACGTAAAATGTGAATTTTAAACCTTGTTGCATTTATCTAACTGTTGGACTCTTGGCTCTGAAGCATATGTGCCTTACCTGGGTATGAAATTTAATAAATCTGCCCTATTCTGCCCAGCTGTGTGCATCAGGTCTGTTCTTTCTCTAGAATAATGAAAATTGGTGAAAAATAGGTCTAAATCATAATCAGCTTTAGCTTCATTTTTGATTAAATGATATACAGTACATTTAATCTGATGATGAGAGATGTGCTCTAACTTGTAAACAGCCTTAACCTATTAAAGCAGAATAGCCTAATAATGAAGTACTAAGATAACCCCAATAGAGCCAACAGATATAAAGTCAGTCTACAGTGTGATAAAATGCTACAAGAATTATTACAAGTTCACATTTGATGTTGTTCAGGCTCTTTTATGAAAGAAACTGAACCTGGTTTGTTGCTAAACAGGAAAGGATGTTTATTATAGCGATGAGTTCACATTTTCTTCAAATAACTCCTCGAGATCTGGCTGTAAACACAAAAACCTTCAGAGAGGGGAAACTGTTTACACGAAATAGCCAATCGTAGTAGAGCCCTTCCAGCCAATCAGAGGCGAGAAATGTGGGACCTTCCTTGGACATCCTAGAATTCTAAATGAGGCAGGCGGGAGACGGATTTGCATCAGCAACGGCGAGATTTTCGGCTTTGTTATTTCAAATGCAGTTCGTGAACAAAGGTCACTATTCAGAACATGAAAAAAACAACGGAAAATCACGACTTTGCGAGGTAAGATAACAAAGACCACGTTGCCAGCCACCTAGCTAAACAACTTCCTGAAACAGACTTGCTCCTACCTAGCAATCGTTTGTTTTTAATGTATTTGTCCTGCCGTTGAGACATATGTGTATTTTAAAGTTTGTGTCAAGGAGTCTTGCAATTAATGTTTTAAGACAAATGTTGTGGTGCAATTGTGTGTTTTATTGCTAAATATTACCATCGTGCACTCAATCGTTTCTCATCTTTTCCTGCTTGCTAACGTTAGCTAGCTAATCAATTCCATCCAACCGCTAGCAAAACATGGCTTTCGATTTTTCTGCAGTTTTGTGTCTTATTTTCGTCAAAGTAACAACACCATGTGTCAGTGTAAACACATTAAACTCTTAAAATGTCAGCTGCTGTTATCAGCTCGCGTATCATTCCGTGATTTATAGTTTTTTTTTAACAAAATGCCGAGTTGTTTCACATTTGTTAGCTGAAGCTAACAAGTCAGGTCAAGTATTCTTTATTCCAGACTTGGTCAAATTCACAGAAGTAGAAAAAAACACCTAGTATAGATAAGATTAAATGAAATAAGTACATATGACGCTAAAGCACAAGAGACAAAATAATCATGAAAATAAAAACAAGAGACAATAATAGCAGTAGTACTAACATATGATGTGTTAGTCGAGTTTTTCTTCGTAATGAAACTGATTCTGTGATTTTCCTGCAGAACTCTTGCAGAGAAGCATTCTTCGAGGAAGGGTGAGTCGAAACATCGTCGAGTCACGCCATTACTGTGTTCTGTTAGGCAAAACACATGTGACGCTGTTGCTGTCGGTTATTGTTCATAATTGTCAAAAACGTTATTACATACTCTGTTATTACATAATAAATAGGAGATCTTGAGGTTACTGGTGTCAAAAGCTTCTAACTCACTTTGTACAGTTTAACAAAACATTTCAGATTTTGTTTGTGTGGCATCAGGGGTTGCAGTAGTTGCCAGTAGCACACAAGGCCACCTGGGGAGTTACACCCCAGGAAATAAAGACACACAGGTCCACTCTACAGATCAGGCAGGAGATGTGGTCTGACCAATAACATGCTTTTTATTAAAATATAAAAGAGACTAAATTAACCTGAATAGGCTGAAGCTTACCAGGGTCTAATTCAGCCTACCAAAAAAATACACACCCAGTGCCATGCATCCAGGAGGTGCACGGTGAAGGAACACACACACACGTGGAAAACTCCCGCCACCAAGGCCAATGGTACCCCACTGGGAGCAAACAGCCTGCAAAAAAAGAAAGAAACAGTTAAAAACAAAACCAACAAGCAGTTGGCTAAACGAATTATAAAAAGATGGACAGCCTGCTAGCTCACCAGCCAGGAGTTGCAGGCTGTCTGAAATAAGTAAAAAAAAATTCAATTATTTATTTAAAAGAGCAATCAGTCTTGCTCAGATGTGTGCCAGACGTGCACCACGCACAAAGAGCTAAACAGCTCGAAAGTTCTTACTGCTGGAGACACCGGAGAGGTGGTCCTCCTTGGACCTGAGTGGAGTCCCACTACAGTCTAGTCTAGGAGGTGATGTCGTTGGCCGCCGTGGATCCGATCTGGTATAGGTCAAGCGGGACCGGCCGCTGTCACATCCAAGCACCCGCACGCCAGGCGATGCCGGGAGCTCCTGTCCTCTACTTGTGGGAGCTGGGAACTAATCATAAAAATCCGGAGAAGCAAAACAGCAAAGTCTGCGGAGGTGCAGACTCTAAAATGAGCCAAAAGCTAATTAAAATGAGCAGCTGAATGATGAAAAAAGCAGGGTACATACCTTAGACATTGGTTTGCCCAACTGAGCCGGCGAAACACGGGTACGTCCCAGAGCTGACTGATCAGATACCAGCCACCACTAGAGCATTAATATGATTAACACAGACTCCCAAGTCGCTAACACCGAAGGGATAATTTTACTTATAGTTTGCGCTGAGTTCCAAGCACTGCCACATACTCGACCGGCTCGACATCCCGGTTGTAAACGCCAAGTTTAGTGAGAGGTGATCACCCAAGGGAACAAACCTGTCCTTATAACAGGGCGCCCTCAACAGGTGAATGGTTAAGCAGCATCCCCCAGCTGCAAACGATCACCCTGCTACATTTGGCTTTCAGTAACTTTGTGGGCATTTTGCATCTCAGTAACTGATATGTACTCAACCTTTTGGAGACATAGAATTTTTATACCATTTTATTCTTACTGCTCCAAACATTTTTTTTACAGAACACATTTAAAACAACAATGTTGATCAAAGTACTGAATGAATATAAAGTGAATGGCACTTTGCAAAATAAACTTAATTAAAAAAAAAGGGGAGAAATGTGTTACCAATAAAAATCAGCACTACCAACAGCACCACCCATTGTGACTTGGATGGGTTCTGTTCTGTTGGACAGCTGTTTCCAACAGCAGGGTTTCAGTATTTTCCCCAAACTTTTCAGTGCTTAGCACACAGAACCAGCCAATGTTAGCGCAAGTGCCCAAGGTCCCCCCACCCTATGCGCTATGACGAGCACACCCACTAGAGTTTTTTTTTTTTTTTTGTCAGAGTTGGCAAGGAAAACCAACTACACTCGACCCATGTTAGACTGAGTAGCATTGTTGGAAAAGGGGCGTAAGTGTCCTTGCTGGAGATAATAACTTCAGCAAGTCTCCACTGTAATGGCGTGCCAACAGAGATTTAAAGCCGGGCGTACACTGTGCGACTTTTTCACTTTTTTGAGCCGATTTTCCAGTCGTGCGAGAAGCCACAACATCGGGGCGAGTTTTGCGCCGAGCGGTCGTGTAGTGTACAGGGGGTTACGAGGGGCGATTAACACCACGTGACCAGCTGCCGATCAGCAGTCGTGAGGTCGCACGGACTTCTGGCGTGTTTAATATTTCGCTCGGCCCTCGTGAGGGTATCGCACTGTTGAAGCGGCGCTGCGAGCAGCTGCGACCCAAAAAGTATCAGAACCGCTCACGGTGCATGCGCAATCCTGCATCAACACCGCTCGCTATTTCCCTAATAACACACGTTGTTCGTTTTTGTTTCTACACGTTTTTTTACTCACAAAGATTGTCAAGAAAGCGTGTTTGTCGTGTTCTTGTCAAATTAAACTGACTACAAAACACAGATTTACTTTCTTTATTTCGTTTTCCTCATCCAACCCCCATAAATCCCTGTGTGTCCTCCTGCAGCACTCCCGAAGGACAACAGGCAAAACAAGACAAAAAAGTCTGACGTGTTGAGTAAAAACTGCTATTTTTAGCATATTTTTAGGGCCGACGTGTTGCTACCAGACGTACAGTGTGAGCAGTCAGGTCGCATGCGAGAACTGGGTCGTACAGTGTGAGCACATGACTCGTGAGATCTGCTCTGCGAGGAAGTCGTACAGTTTGAACTGAAGCTGAGGGCTACGAGTGAAAAAGTCGCACAGTGTATGCCCGGCTTCAGGTAACCCCTAAAACAATCTGGAGGCCAGTGAAGTAAGGCCAGTGGCGGTCCACTAGGAAGTCACTCTCACACCTGTCAGACTTTTTAATAGTGATGAATGTAAATCTAACAGTCTCTTGGCACCTCTGTGTGAATGAGCTTTCTTGATGCCTTTGCATCTGCCTGTGTTTAGATAAATTTCCACCCATAATGGGCTGAGTTTTGGCCTAGAAATAAAAGAATAGTAGCTAAATATTTGCATATATAGTATGGCTGGCTTCCTGGACAGTGTGTCCTGTAGAAAGAAGATCTTCAGGCTCTACTATACCCTATTCCCATCCAGAGGTTTCTAATCTCAAGTTACCAGTGTCTCCCATCTGTCTTATCTGCTGCTGAGGGGAAGGGGAGAATGAGGTAGTACACCGGGAAACTTTCACATAACTATCTCAGGCCTTGAATCAATGTGTTTTATTCACCACAGTATTAATGGACGCATTAATTAGTCCGAGGCTGATTTGTCTACTTAACTGTGTTTTGGATCTCCTTCTAGTTAATAGTTCGAAATGGCTTTGGTTAAGAATCGAACGATTTAAAAAGGCAATTCAGAAAGATTTTGAGTGTATATGCTACCATAGTAATAAAGGTGTTTACTGTTGTTGTTTTTGTTTGTTTTGTAGGCATGAGCCCCGTACTTAAGCAACAGTCACCTTTCACTTTTCCCCAAGAGACTCCAATGAAGCCATCTCAAGTCCCTAACATGCTTTCTCCTCCTCCACTCAGGAGAGTTTTGCCTTTTGAGACGCCTGAGCAGCACGTCAAAGACAAATTTAACTCTGAGTGGAACCGTCATCATCCAGCAGGTCCAGAACGTTCTCGATTTCTACCAAACAGCCCCACCAGCAGTCGGTTACTGTTGAATCCAAAGGACAGAGTGGGTCCTCCAAAGCATTTTGCTCAGCCTCCTGGATGTGTCCCTAGTAGTCCAGGCAACACTGGTACCTCTGTACAGATGTCCCAGCCAAGAGAAAGACAGGGTCCACAGCGGCACATCGGACAGTCAGAGCCAGGACATTTCTGTTCATCTCCGCTTGTTCCACTCTCCCCATCCAGCAATAACATTTCATCTGACAGACCCTCATTTCCCATTTTTCTTAATTCCCCATCCGCTCAGTCTGTAGCGCATTTCAAAAGCCACACCCTGCCCTGCTCCAGTAGCGATCGAGAGACTGAATCCAAAGTCACTTCCATCGTCTCAGGAAGCAACAGTGAAAAGGTAAAACGCACAGCTGAATTGTTGCTCTGCTCGGCCCTCAAATTAGAAGTTCCATGCTCATCTTCGAGCTGGAACGACTTCTCTTTAAGTTTTATGAAGCTTTTACTAAACTTCAGAACAAGCCAGGTTGTTTCCTGGCAGCTTCCTGCTGACCCAACAGCCTGGTGTCATCCAGTGGCCCTCTGGGGGTCAGCAAACTCCTTCTATTAAAGCATTGTTGTTTACAGATCATGCCCAGTTCACTAGTTCTCCATTGTCGTGAGTCAAGAGGGTAGCCTGGCAAGCCAGACTAAATAAATGTATTATTTAGTCTGGCAACGCTCCATTGACGGCTCTCGGTTGTGGGGTGGGTTCTACCGTTGTCTTTCAAATGATCTCCGCATGCTATTGGACAAATGTGACATACTCACCGCAACAGCCATCGGTAAATGAGGCGGTCCGCAGATGAAGGAGAAAACACATCATTTTTTCTTTAAAAAAAAAAAAAAAAAAAAGCACTTAAATTCATCTATCTGCTCCTGATTCTAATGAAGCCCAAGTTCTAATAGTCCAAAATTGATGTAAAAGCCATTTCAAACGAGCTGTCGCCATCTTGTTTCACTCAGTTGCATCATCCCACCCACCAGGCATATAGAGTGCCCTGATTGGCCCACAAACTGGATAAAGCTCTGTGATTTGTTCACTAAGCAGATAGAGCACTATGATTGGCCCACCATTATTGACCAATCACAGCTCTTTATGTGTTTGAAACCCCTCTAGAGAGCTGTGATTGGCCAGCCAGAATGCTGTTAGGGGCTGCAGAGGTTCCAGTGGAGCGTTCCTAGACCAAACATTGCAAAGCAAGAATTTGGTCTAGTTCACTAGGCTATCAAGAGGGTTGAGTCCATGAATGTTTTGTGACAGTGTGACGTAGATCTTTCAGGCTTTTACAATCCCAGAGTTTCACCGTCTATTTTCTGTCAGAAGCTAATGCAGGAGATCGGTGTAGGAGACTATTCTGATGTTCGGCCTGCATGAAAAACTCAAAGTGACTGATTTATAATTAGAAATAATGATTTAAAAATGGGTTTTCAGTGAACCACACCTTTAGATTTGGCTTGTTCAGTCTCGAGCTAAAATCAAAGAGCTGGGACCATCAGACATGGCCTTATCACCCATGAGATTGTAGACTTAATTACTCTGATTTAATTCTGTATGCTTAATACTCTAATGAAATTAGATAATTTGTTATGATAACAATGCTTCCCTGCCATTTTACTGGTGTTTTAACATAGTTTACCTGTTTTCTGTGTAAAGGTTATTTTAATCTCACTCTCTCTTCACTTGCAGAGCCATCAATATGAGCAGATACCTTCAGGAGATAACTTTGTCCCAGGTAATTCTGTCGAAGCAAATTGAACATTTATAATATGGTGGGGACAAATTTCCCCTTCAGTTCACATTTTCAACCACAGGAAAGATTACTTCACTGGTAGCAAAAAGAAGCTACTTTAGGTCTTATTGGCTTGATACTAGGGCTGCAGCTATCGAATATTTTTGTAATCGAGTACTCTATCGAATCTTTTATCGATTAATCGAGTACTCTTAATAAATTACCCTTTTGTTTGTAAACCATTATATCAAATAGCATGATATAAAATATGAAAGACCTCTTAAAGTGAGCAAGCAAGCAATTGCCAGTTATTCTTCAAGTTTTATTCAAAATTAGTTTTCAAAACTTCAGCACTTCAACTTTACTTCACAGTAAACAAATGCCTGTGCAAAAAATAAGTAAACAACCTGAGCCGATTTTCCCCTTGTGCGAGAATCTACTAGCCCAGCAAGCCAGACAAAAACTAGAATGATAACTGTTTAAGTAGCGCTGCGAGCGGCTGCGGCCCAAACAGCACCAGAACCGCTCACGGCGCATGCGCAAACATGGCTCACCAGCTATTTCCCTATTAACACATGTCCATTTTAATTTCTACACTTTTTTTTCACACACAGTAACAAGGATTGTCAAGAAAGCATGTTTGCCGTGTCAAATTATACTGATCACAAAACATTTATTTACCATCTTTCATTTTCCTCCGCCACTCATAAATACCTGTGTCCTCCTGCAGCAATCCCGAGGGACAACAGACATCAATAACAACAAAAGTCTGGCGTGTTGTGTAAAAGCTAGTGGTGCGCATCTCTACGTGCCTCACGATTCGATCCGATTCCGATTACCTGCCTAAAGATTCGATACGAGTCTGAAATGCATCACGATTCTTCACACAAAATGTTTCATTACTTAATAAAAGCAGTTGCTTATAATGTGCTGTTATTGCTACGTACGACTCTGTTGCAGTTGATGTCCATGAATCACATGTAATGGCTACGCGGCTGGCTTTACTCATTGATTCCACTACCTGGGCTTTGGTTTCGTTGTACAATGCAGGCACAGCAGTTTGTCAAGTGTCTTCTTGTCAGTAGGTTATACCGAGACTCGAGCGTCTCAGGAGGTAGCAAAACCTGGCATTCTCTACCACAGAATATGGTTGTAGATCCTTAGCAATAAAGCATGCAACAGAACGGGTGATCTTCTTCCCTCTCTCCGAAGCAGACGGTAAAATTGTCAGCGCTTCTTCAATCGTTGGCTGGGATGTGCTCGCTGTTTTTGTGGCTGTTGCTGAAGAAGTCCTCGCAGGGTGGGAACGTTCAAAATGTTTGGTCATATTAGTTGTGTTCCCAAAGTACTTTAGTTTTGTGTGGCACACCTTGCACACAGTGTGCGTTTTGTCATGCTTTCCGTCTAGCTCATAAAAGCCGGAATTAGCCCAGACATCCCATTTAAATGTAACGGGTGCATCTCTGATTACTGGTAATGTTCGCCCTGTATCCCTGTCCGCCATTTCTGTTTTAAACTGACACTAGGGCAACGCAGTGCGCATGTCATTGCAACTCTGCCCCCGGAAGTAGTCGTAAAACCTCAAAACTGTATTGTCCTGGCTCGTCCAGAACATCGACATAGACATGGGGAGAAAATCTCATTATGTCACGTTGCTGCATCGATGCAGAATCATGCACGGCCGAATTGTGATGCATCTTAGAATCGATCATTTTTTCTCACCTCCAGTAAAAACTGCTATTTTTAGCACATTTTTAGGTCCGACGTGTTGCTACCAGACGTACAGTGTGAGCTGAAACTGAGTGCTACAAATGAAAATGTTAGTGTCCGCAGAATATATAGAAATACAGGCTAAAATGCATTATCTCGTAGAGGCTCTGAGTCCGCTTGCAGAAGTGACATTTACATGTGCTGCAGCTTGGAGGATGTGGTGTTGTGGTAGGCTAAATCCATTTTACAGTATTTACACTGGACTACGTTTTCCGCCTTACGGCATGAAAAACGGTCCCACACCTTTGACATTTTCTGTCTTTTTCGCACTCCACCGGGGTCCACGTTGTCCGCCATGCTTAAGAGAAAGTTAAGTTACATTCGCTACTCGCGTGTGCATTCAGTGCAGTGTGTATGTGTGTCACTTATTTCGGTCCGGGTGAAACATGAACCCCGGGCGATTGCAAAGCCATTAATTAATTAAACATGAATTAAACGAATCCTTGAGGCAGAGAATTTGACTCGAGGCTTTTTTGTACTCGAGGAATCGTTTCAGCCCTACTTGATACTTTATCCCTGTTGTTGTTTTAGTTAATTTAAAAGGTCGGGGCTTAATTTGAGCCGGATCTTGCCGGAACAAGATCCGGGAACTATCTTATTTTGAAAAGACCGTTCCGGCAACTGGATCCGGCAACTCGCGTGACAAACTTGTGCTACATGCAGGATTCGAATTACGGGTGAGCTATGGAGGTCCTGGATGCCCTCAACACACCCAGGGGGAGCCGGAGAACAATCCTGATTCTACTTATATTGCATTATCTATGTGGACTCTCTGGGATTATTTGGAGCTGAGGGGCGCAGAGCTCTGAAAGATGATGCGTCCTGAGCACGGCCACAGTAACATTCTCAAAGTGTCTCCACCTCAAAAACAAAGTTAACACGCGATCGTTCATGTCTGCTCATTTCCTTTTATGGTTTCTGTCTTTTATTTGTGCCTGATGCGTTTCGCTGCTGCGGTGCTGTTTCGTCCTCCGGTGACTTCATCGGTGCAGCTGGTTTTTGCTGTCGGTAGATCTTTTAGAACTGCAGTTCAAAGTTAATTCATAAGGTGAATATATATGAAGCCAGGTAGCAGTTTTTCTTTAGGATTGAGAGGAGATGCAGGAAGATAATTCAGAGACAGGACAGAAAAATAGTCAAATAAAAAATAAGTTCCTTTTTGTACCTGGTGGTTGCAACAACCACTAAAGGTAATCAGAAGTGAGGAACAGAAAATGAAATGATTCTTTCAATGTTTAGAGCAGCAGAAACTCTGAGAGGCTGCAGGCATCTCAGTGAGTTTGCGGCCGGTGCGCAGGGGGAGGGGGAGGGGGCTGAAGCAGGGGAACAGTAAAGATGCAGAAACTACTGTTGTTAAAAGAGATGAGTGTTAACTTTGAAAATGTGTGCGCAATTTTAATTACTTGTCATTACTTGTCACCCCCATTCCCCCGCGCATGTTCCGGCATCTGTTTTCCTTTAGTGAACTTTGGTTTGACGTCACTATTTGCGTTCGGGAACATTTGATTTGCAAATCAAGCACCGGTTATAGTATCAGCACATTTTCTAATCAAACTATTTAAATATTGAGTATTTTTGGTAACTTTGGACAGGATCAGGCAGGTATACATCAAGTCAAGTTGGCTTGTGTCTGCTGAGCCTGCTTGGATCCTGGCTCTTCTCAGGCTTCCATTTCATTGGCCCTCATGGTCACAAATGGTGCTTACAGATTAGCGTCGGCACAGTCAGGGTTTGGTCGGGCTGGATGGCGTGAGTTTGGTCTCAAACAGGCGGTGTAGTGTTCACATATAAATCCGAGGGACTTCTCAGGAATGCAAAAATCCCGGGCCTGTTGGCGGCGTTTAATACGCGCTGGAAAGTCCACTTCATAAAATAAATAAAGGCAGACATGTGAGCTGCGTTGCTTTTGGAGACTCTGCAACACATTATTTTATTAATTTGCTGTGTGTGTCCTCATAATCTTGTGCCACACACACTGATTTCTCCCCTGACCAGCTGTCGGCTCATCCAGGCAAGAGCTCCGATGCGAAGAGCAGGCGCGTGCACACACACACACACACACACACACACACACACACACACACACACACAGAGCTATTCTCTTCTCCCATTCCCACACTTAACGGCAGCTCTGTGCTACAGACAGAAGTTTACTCAACAGCATCCAGCATGAAAATGAGTCAGCATGCGGGAAACCCCCTGCTGGCTCATTCTTCTCGCAGATCGGAGGCGGTCGGCGTAATTTCAGCCGGCCAATCAGTCCATAGTGTCGCCTCAGTCCCAGTCTGACCGCTGGGGAGAAGGTCTGAGAAAAAGAGTCGCCTTGGCACCGAAAACACAAATCTGACCTGTGTGTGAAACCAAATTCTGGTGCCATTCGATACCTTTTGGGGCCGTGCCGACGCTAATGTGTAAGCACCAAAAGCCTGGTTCTGCTTTGACTTTCCGGCCGGGTCTGATTTCAGCCACCTGGGGTTCGGGCTGAGTGCCTTATCTTTTTGTAAAGTAGGTGCTAAATGCAACATCTCCTGCGGAAAGAGCCTTCAACACCTTCCTGTGGCCTGGATTAATTGCTGAACCGCTCTCGAGCATTATTCTGCTGAGTTGATGTTTTATAAGCTAGGAGATTGAAGATTGTTTGGCTCGAGAGGATTTACAGCCTGAATCGGATTTCATCACAAAAATTACCCTTACTGTATTGTACTCCTAAACCTAGCGTGGCCCCGGCGCTCCCCTCAGAATCTGACAGAGCCTTCATCACCTTCCTGGAACCTAATTCCTGTGCATTTATTTCTCAAAAACATTATTTTGCTGACTGTGCTTTGTAAGATGAAGATTATAATGTTTTTCTTAGCCCCATTGTCTTTTTCTGGTTATTTTGGACTTGGGATCATGTTGTGTCCTCTTGGTGAATATTAATATGCTTAGAATGAGGGATACTTATTATTGCGGCACTAATTTTCACTTAGCTAGGGATACTGAAACTATACCAACTCACTTTACTCAGATCTTTCTCTTGTGGTTAAACCTGCTTGGACAAGTATCCAACCTCAAACATTTTCTTGCTTTACACAATCTTAATCTCTGACTAAGCAAAGCTCACCGCGTGGATTCATCTTATGTTATGACTACCCCAAAATGTAAAGTGAAGCAGATCGATGATTGTCTTACTCTTACTAATATCTAGAAATGTGCAACCAAACCCTGGACCTGAGCTGCAATGTACACGGACT